TTAAAAATATATTGTCTATGTTTTACTGCATTTTAATTTATTCTGTTAAATATTTCCCAATTACTTTTTAACCTGGTTCAGTGTAGACCACATACAGCTCACATGTTTGACACCTCTGTTATAAACTATTTACAAAAGGCACTTTCTTAGTACACTCCTGGGGCCAAAAGTACTATTAAAATATTGTAAAATAAACAGAGAGCGGTTTCACTTTTGTTCAAGTCTTAATGAGCTTATACCCAGAATACTGCCTGTGGTTCTGATTGCTGTCCCTCCTTGCCCTGAAACCTCCCCATGACACTTAGTAGCTGCAATTCTGAGAAAATCCTTTAGCTTCTCCAAGTTTGCTTTTTCTTCTGTAAAATAGGGATAACAACATCTATAGTATCAACCTTATAGAGCTGTGATAAGGTTCAAGTGAAATCTCAAAGCCTCAAAAAAATCATCAAAGGAATGTTCTCCCTCCTCATTGCCCTCTCTTGCAATTCCTGGTTTTCTTCCAGGCTCAGCTCAAACACTAACTTCTGCATGAGGCCTTTCCTGGTGCCCCCCAGTAACTAATGCTTTCCCCTCCTAAGGTTACCTTGAATGTGTTTTGCATATGCCTCTATATGTGTGCAATAACCCCTCTGGGGCTACTACTCATTATTCTAGGGGTAACCTAGAGGGACTGGATTTCTAGAATTGTTGCTTACAAACCCCCACCAGGGTGCTTCCCATTGATTGTCAGCCAGACTTAAATAGCTTTTACAAAAGGTATTTACTAAATAGGAATAGCAAAAATAGTTAGTACAACATATTCTTTGTATCCCCAAGCCTACCACAGTGTATGGCATGGAATGTGCATTTAATAAATGTCTTTTTTTGATTAATTAGTTGATTGAATAGTGTTAACATGAAAATCTCAATCCAGGATACTTGAGCTAGAGGATACACTTTGGATATTGGTTTGGATACAAATACCACTTTAGATGATGAATAATAAATTAATAGAGTTCATTATCCCTAAAGACTGTTTAACTGAAAATTTAAATTTAAAAATGATTAGGACACATATTGGATTTATAAATTATGAGTTATTGAGGAAAGTTACACATTTTGCAGATGGATGGGAGCAGAGGAATGTCATTAACTTTTCAGGTTTATGCCAGGAAAACTAAACATCTTCCCCCACAAAATGCTTCTTTGGTTATATTGTTGGGCAGAATCCTGGAAGTGTCATGGATGTAGCCCACTCTGGCAATTATCATCTTATACTAATATCCAATGGGCACATAGGGTGGCAAGCCTAATGTTATCTCCTAATATTGTAAAGCCACCTTGTTACCCTTACCTCATGCCTAACCAGACTGTATACTGAAAGGTACCCACAGAGATCATTCACCATCTTTTTGTGATCTGGCCTGATTGTAGCAGGCCATTTCAATTCAATTTGACAGCCATTTGTTGAATACCTTCTATGCGCCAGGTTCTATGCTATGTATGTGCTAGGTATATGAAATACAAATAAAAATAGTCTTTGCCCTCAAGGAATTTGCATTTTATTGGAAGAAAAGAACATGTTACAAAAATAAGGAAATAGCAAGACTTGAAGGCTTGTCTCTCTTCTTGTAGAAGGTGGCACTTGAGCTGAACCTTGGAGGGAGCTAAAGATTCTAAGGGCTTGAGGTGAGGATGGAATGCAAGGATGGAGGGATGAAAAAGCCTGGGTGAATGGAGGGAGATGGTTCATAGAATGTGGTCTCTGGAGAATGCAAGCAAGCCAGCTTGGCTGCAACAGAGAATGCAGGGGAGAGAGTAATGGGAAATCAATCTGGAAAGATAGGTTGAAGTCAGACAGTGAAAGGTTTTAAATGATTAACAGAGGAATCAGTAGTTTATCCAAGGAGCAACAGTGAGTGACTGAACCTTCTCGAGCAGGGAAATACAGTGATCAGACCTGTACTTCAGGGATATTAATTTGGTAGCTGTGTAGACACAGGCATAGATCTATGCTTTCCTGATACATTTAGATCATATTCTGTGCATAAAATCAATTGCCATATCTTTGAGGCTCATTCTCAATGTTTCTAGTTGTGGTAGTTCATAACATGTTAACATATTTGCCTGTGATTAGAAGATTTACTTGGATTTAATGTCAAATATCAGCTTTTGTAAGTTAAAATTCACAGAAGCATTTGTTGGCACAGCAGATACAGGGCTGGTACTGGAGTCTTAAAAAACTGAGTTCAAATCCTGCTAAATCACTTAACCTCTCAGCCTCAGTTTTTTCATCTGTAAAATAGGGATAATAACAGCACCTACTTTATAGGGTTGTTGTGAGGATGAAATGAAATAATACATGTGCTTTGTAAACCTTAATTAAAAGCACTCCGTAAATCTTAGCTATTATTATCATTATCTTCAAGAGTCAGAAAACAATTTTCTTGGCTTTCATTTATCAACCACATATAATTCCAGCACTAATACTCCCATGAAATCTAACTGTGCAAACTTACTTCATCCTCAAAGAGAGAGAGAAAGGAATACATACATATACACATGTATATGTACATGTGTATATGTATGTATGTGTGTGTACATAGTAGGATACACACACATATATTGCCTACTATGTGCCAGGCACTGTGCTAAGTATGTTTATAAGTGTTATAAAGCATTATAAGTGTTACAAAGCATCATAAAGTGTTACAAAACTTGATTTCTGTGGATTCTCTGTTCACTGGTATAGATCACAACCTTTCTATAACCCATGAATCAATCTTCATGAATCGCTGTGGATGAGAAATGTCAGCTTGGAGGGACTCTCCAAAGTTTATATTTAAAGACATTTCCTCTAGAAATGCAGGATTACTTCTATGTCAGGCTGAGACACTGGAATAGGACTTTGATGCAGACTACACATGAAATTTAAAACAAAATGAATGATTTTTTTTAATCCGTTAATTCATGGAGTATTCTGTCTGGAATTTTAAGAGCTCTGAAATCTCTTCCTCTTCACCAAATATTTTATTAAGCATCTGGAGGGTGGTGATAGAATCAAAGGAGTAATCTATAAACTATTTACTAAGTGCCCTGATGGTTTTGATAGACATGTCATGTAAAGGAAAAATCTTATGGAGAAAGCCTATCAAATGCCATCAGCAGCTTTCCAGAAAGCAATGAATGTCAGCTTCAGGGCATGAGAGGTGTTCTAGCAATATGAGTTTTATGGACTCTTGTGTATTTGTTCTCTCTCCAGCTGGTAGTGTGGGGATCTGTGGGACAGTGTGGATTTTCCCTTGTTATTTACTTTCCAATTCTGTTTAATCAAATGGTTTAAAAATTAAAGGTAATATGTCTCCTAGCTTTTTCCGGCGAAAGGAAAACATCAGGAAGGGGCCTCATGAGCTGTATTTTGCTAACCTAAAGTTTGTTTTGAATCCGTGGTAGCTTTAGAGTTCATTTATGAGAAGGGGTCTGGGTACATTTGTGGCTACCTTCTTTTCAAACTGTGACAAATGGGTCAGACAAAGAAAACAATTGTAGATACCCTCTACATGCTACTTTCAAGTCTGATTCACTCATACTAGCCAACTGGCAACTTTGGTAGTACAGGAAGAGAGTAAATAAATGTCTGTTAAGGAAAGGAAGCATGGGGTAGAAAATAGAGAGTTGGGAAACCTCAGTTCAAATCCTACCCCTAAAACATACTGGCTGTGTGACCCTGGTTAATCACTTCACCTCTTAGGATTCTAAGAGTTTAAGTCGCAGAACAGAAGCCAACCTGCATTGGTAGAGAGAGGTTACCCACCGGGAATTCCCTAAAGTGATGAAATCATAGGTCTGGACCACTCCCAGCCACCATCATTTTTTTTAATAAAGGCTCAAGAACATCTTTTCAGCATTTCTATTTAATGAAGATCCTGGATGTTATTTACAGAAGATACACACACATCACATGATTCCTACACATTAAATGCTGCCAAATTATGAAGATGAAATAAAAAACTGTATTCCAATTACGTGCTAAATAAAATAAATAAAAAAGTAATGATTTTGGCACAATACTGGTTATGTAGCAAATAAATACTTTATAACTTTAATTGAATAAACACTTTTATTTACATTCTACCTGAAAGTGCAAAACGATTGTTGAAAATTAAGATATCTGTAATAATGTTTAAGTCCAGAAAATATGTTTTTTTTGCCAGTAACAACAATTTGCAATTGATAGTAAACTGTTTTTTTTTTAATGCCCAGGAAAATATTCTCATTTTGAAGAAAAAATGCTTTGTGCATATTGTGCTCTTTTTTCAATGTCATTTTCTATCTTTGCTATAGCATTTTTTAACAACCTCAGTACTGGAATTTCTATGTAATCCTGATTGGTCAGTTTTAAAAAAAGGCTATATTGTAAACATAAATACAATTCTAGTTATCCTTCAAAAATTAGAGACCAGTCTTTCCAAGTTCACATAAACAGCCCCAATGTTGTACAGTAGTATGCAAAGTCAGGTTTTCTCAGAGGTGAGGCCATGAGGATGAGAATACCATCGCTACCTCTATTTTCATCTTCCATGGATTTTTGTGAACAACATAGAACCTTGTGGATTCAAAACCATGGAATATATTACTACTGCCCTCTCTTAGAGAAATCCCCACCAATTCTGCCGGTGATATGTCTTACTTCTATACAAAGGTATTGGAGACATGAAGAGATTTTACCATATGCCCATCACTGGCTGTAGCTCTATTGGATTTTACTATGGTTTTTATTTATAGTACAGCAAAGACAGTGATGTATTTCAAAATTAATTAAGCTGCATACCCACTGGGCATTCCTGAAGCCACAGTGTACGGGCATTTCATAAGCCAAACATGTTCCTCTCTTCATAATATCTCATGTTCGGATAGTGCACGTTCACATACATGATCTCTTTTAATCCTCACAACAGCCCTGTGAGGTAGGCAGAAACAGCCTTTATTATCCCCATGTTACGGATGAGGAGACAGAGGCTCAGAGAGATGAAGTGAGTTGCCCAAGGCCACACAGCTAGTTGGAGGCAGAGCTGAGACTACAACCCAGGTCTCCTGGCACCTAGTTCAATACTCGTTCCACAATGCCGCACTGCCCTCATTGCCATGTAGCTGGTGTGCTGGGCAATGCCCAGGGATTGTTTTCACTAATTTTTTGTTTGTTGTGTAAAGTTCTCTGTGGCAGTACAGTTGTAATAGAAATGGCATTTTTTTTTTTAGCAGATAGTAGACTGGAAATGAACCATTGCTTTAGTCCCTTTAAGTGTTCATGCTCGACGAGGCTCTAATCTGTGTGACATCTGGGATAACGTTCTCTGGTTGTCAATCACATTTAATTGTCGGACATAACCCCGGACATCCTGATGGTTCTTATTAGCAAGGGCTGCATCAGGATCTGATGACACAGGAAAAGAACACAGGTTATTACATAGTCAACCTGTTTAATATCAAATTACTTCATTCTTTTCACCTATTTACTACCGTTAATGCTGGGAGTCAATAAGACTTTCAATAGACACCTAGCCACTGATAAGTTGCTACTGTATTATTTTCATGATCTATATTAAAATAGTTAATGTATTATTTAATAATATATACTTTACTATTTTAATTTATTAATATTTTAATAGGAGACATTAATCTTAATTATTTTCTCTATTCCAAACTTCCTCATTTGATATTTTCCTTAGCATCTTACCTGAGTGAAAATCAAAGCAACCATCTGAGGGCACATCTAACCCTGATAGCATATTGAAATCTACTGTCTTGTCTTTTTCTTTCTTCCCATAAATCTAACTTTAAGCCTAAAATAGATCTTTTCTTTTTTCTCTAGGTAAAAATCAGTCTAACCTATGCTAGCTGCGTGTTTCACTATTTACTGACTATTGTTTTTAATTTTCATTTGGGCCAAGGTTAAAGAAATAAGCCCTGAGTTTGAAGAAGCAATTTCCTCTCTTGCTTGTACAGCCTGCTTACAAAATTGAAATATTTACTTCTGCTCCAATGCCACTCCTAGAGTGGCTGGATTCATGATTCAAAATATTCACTTCCCTTGCTATAAAGGTACCTGTTTTGACCTTTTTGAGGCCTCTGTACTTAAGAGAAGCTTACATTTCCATTGTGGTTTATACATCTCTTTTCTAACATCCCTGGGTGGTAGGCAATGCAGGCATCATTCTCATTTTGCTGATGAGAAAATTGAACTTCAGCAACTTGACCAATGTAAAAACAGCTGGTAGGTGATGACATTAGGATGTGGCTCCTAGTCATTCATAGTTCAAGGCTCTTTTTATGATATTGCTCTTCTCTACTTGAAAAAATAAAGCCCCAACCCAGAGGGTTGACGCCACTCTTCCTGCTAAACAACATTCCCTGACCCAGCTGGTGCATGGTATTCCAGAGGGTGCCGTACTTTCAATGGTAGGACTTCAATTCCAGGTTTATAGCTCCGTAGGGGAAGTGTAAGGATCACCTAGTCCAATCCTTTTCTATTTATTAGAGGCCCACAGAGGTAGTCACTTGTGTCTAAGGTCACAAGGTAGATAAGAGGTTAGGGCCAGGACTACAAATCCCAGCTTGGGCTTTTTCTCCTATGCTATGCTGCCTCTTGTAGACCCTCTGCTTCTCTTATACTCCCCACTCCCCTCCAGTTACCCTCACCCAATGCACACACACACATACACAAACATAGGTGCCCTTCTCCTTTTCCTCTCACCACTCCCAAACGCAAAGGGAATGTACTTTTTGCACAAAGGTTGAAAGAGAGCATTTTAGGGCTGAACAGAGAACATCATGTGGATTCAGAGGCCCTTACTTGGTATAAGAAGAAACTCATCAGGATACTAATCATACAGAATTAATCCTTCACTGGACTGAGTGAGGAACACATTGTGTTTAATTTCATCTCTTTTTGCTGGCAATATACCCTCCACGTACAATATACTGTAATTACATTGTCCATAGTCTCGCAATGTTTCTAACTCTATTCCTATAGCTTTATCTATAGATTGTTGACTTCAGAGCTGAGCAGCTGTTGTTTACCAGCAGTTACAGATAACTTCAACAAATGCAGTACACATTATTTTACAAACTGGTTTTCCTTCTCCTCTTGGAGAAAATGGAGCAGAATGCAAATGTGCAAATCCCCAGGGCCCACCCTCTCCTTCATGCAGGGTATCTTTCCAGGAAGGCCTATGGGATTGTCAGAGGTGGTTCCAGAGATGCCTCTTCCTTCATTATCTAATTACCATTCCTTGAGGAATGCTAGCCATTCACAGACCCTGACAGAATCTGTGTGGAACAGTTCAATGATTCCTCTGGCCTATTTGGCCCATTGCCATAGGAGAGCAGATAACAAGGGCTCAAGAAGGCAAGGACATCTGTCCTGTAGAGATGATGTCTCCTTGCCCGACCCTAAACCCCAATACCTCGAAGGTATTGGTCTTCACCATGCTAATCCATAGTATTTTTTCTCTAGTCCCTTCTCTCCTCTGGCACTGAATCAAAAACAAAAATAGGTACTAATAGGACATTAGCATCTTATGTGATCCTACCCACCTGAAGTACTGACAAGAAAAGAAACATCTCTGCCCCACATAATATCTACTAGGATACATTGATAGAGATACAGTGTTGCCTGGTGGTTAGAGTACAGGACTTGGAGTAAGGAAGAGCTGGACTTAGATTGACCTCAGACACAAGCTTGGCAAATCACTTAACCACTCTGTGCCTCAATTTCCTCATTTATAAAGTGGGGATAATAATGTTTACAGCACTTCCTCACACGGCTGTTGCGAAGAACAAATGAATAACATATGTGAACTGCTTTGCAAACTATAAAGCACCACATAAATGTTAGTTATATTTATTGTCATGTATCACAGTGACAGAAATCACAGTAATGCTGAGTGATAATGACAATCTTTATGTCTATAAAGGCAACAACTATTTATAGCATTTACCATCGAGGATGGCACCAAGTAGACTTATGGGGTCACTTCTATGACATATTAATTGTGAACTAATATCCAGATTTCTAAAAATGACTAATGAAATAAAGTCAACAACCAAAAATATATCACAAAGTACACTGCCTTCCTTCTCCAGCCCAATTCTAGGGAGCCAAATTTCTCTCACTCACCTACTAGCCCACCTACACAGGACCCACATCAAAGCTAGAACCAAGGTGCCATGATAACATAGTGCCCCAGGTTGAATTCAGTGACACCACTTTATTGTGATTCTGATCGTGGATTTGATTGTGCCAATTACTCTGGTGCCTTTACAAAAATTAAAAAAAAAACACACATTAAACCCATGTGGTGATATTAAGAACAGAAAATACTGTTTCTTTGCATAGTACCTTTTGTAAATATATCGCAAACATTAATTAATTCTCACAACACTCCTGGACAGATGATAAATATTATCTTCCCCTATTTATAAATGATGGAACTGAGTCATAAAGGGTTTAAGAGAATTACCCAACATTAAACAATGAGTCAGAGGAAGAGCTGGGATAAGGCTGGATTAACTGGGCAAGCTTGTCTTAATCTTTTCCTATATAGCTTCAAAGGCCATGTTAGGAACATCAAAATAGTACTCTTAAATTCATCTCCCCCCCCAAATTTTTTTTTTACTGCTTTTTTTTTTATTGTTTTTACTGTTTAGCTTTGCAACAACCTAAAAGTAAGCAAAGGCCCAGAGTCTTCCTAGAGTTTGAAGTCCAAAGTGCTTGATATAGTCGCCAAGTTACCTGGCATCTCAAACTTTATTAATATTCTCATTAAAAAACAGTCATGCCGTCGAGACCCAGACGGCAGGATACAGCATATAACTTACTGAAGGGTTGGCTCCTGCAGTATCTCACCGTTCTGACTGTGTTAGCAATCATGCGCTAAAAAGAAAGGGAGAAAAAAAGCATATCAGTGTACCAAATGATGGAACCTGCCAAGAAGAACAATCATTGTTTATTTCAGTGATAGCTGGTGTGATGAGAAACCATGCCTTTTGTATTCTGTATGACCCAGATGCTTCTCAGGAATAATTTAAGACTAATATTGATTCCAATGACATTACTTTTGGGAGAAGCTAAAGATCCAAATTCGTCTTTGTAAGGTAAGGTAAGATATTCAGGAGGAGTTCTAATCTCGTCCTACATCTGTGTTCTCCTTATTTTTTGCGGATAAAAAAGCAAAGCACAAAAAAAAAAGCCAAAGGAGTATTATTCCTGGAGCTACACTTCACTGTGGGCAGCTAGGTGGATTGAGTGGATTGAGTGATGGGCTTGAAGTCAAGAAGACATCTTCCTGAGTTCAAATCTGGCTTCAGGTACTTACTAGCTATGTGACCCTGAGCAAGTCACTTAACCCTCTTTGCCTCAGTTTCCTCATTTGCAAAATGAGCAGGAGAAGGAAATGGCAAACCACTCCAGTATCCTTGACAAGAAAACCCCAAATGGGGTCATGAAGAGTTGGACATGATTGAAAAACAACAATAATAAGAAATATCTCATTGTAACAGCTGACTTTTTATGTCCCCTTCCTGGGATGAAGGTGTCATATTTGTGGACATTACAACTGCCCTAGAACTGGAGAAGCCCCAAGAAAACATCCTAAAAGAGGAGAGCCTGAACATGGTTTCCATGGAAGTCTTACTGTAACTCAACCAAAGTTTACCCAGACCTTACTCCAATTCACCTCAAAAATGTTAAGTGCCTGTTATGAGACAACACTGTATTCTAGGCCCAGGAGATGCCAAGACAAAAATGAAACAAGCCTGCCTTTCAATAACTTACATTCTGTTCTACTGAGTAGACAATTTGAATACAAGTAAATACATTAAAATTGTGCAAAATAAATACAAGTCATCAAGACAGAAAATACTTGAACTCATGAAATTAATGAAATCACCAAGGGGGAGAATGTCAAGAGAACATAGACGAGGGCCTAGGACAGAGCTGTGAGGTACATGAATGTTGGGGAGCTCCATATGGATGATGAATCAGCATAAGTAGAAGCTGCCAAGTAGGCAGAAAATCAGAGAACAGCATCATGAAAATCCAGAAGGGAGAGAATGTCTAGAAGGAAAAGGATGGTCAACTGAGTCAAATGCTCCAAAGAGGTCAAGAAGGATAAGGGCTGAGAAAAGACCATCAGATGTGGCAAAGAAAAGATCATCAGGAACTTTGGAGAATAGAAGTATTTTCAGGTAAGTGATGACGATTGAAGCCAGTCTGCAAAGGATATATAGAAAGTGATGTGCACAGGGAGAGAATAACTGTAAGTGTGCTGGGGGTAGGGGGTGGGGTGGAGAAGAGAAGAGTTGGGATGAAGGAAAGGGTTTGAATAGGAGCTGGAACTTGGGCTGAACCTCAAAAGAAACTAAAGGTGTTAAGTGGTAGAGATGAGGAGGGAGAGCATTACAGACATGGGCAATACAGGAGATAGTATGCTAAAGTTAGACCAGAACTATAGACCTAGTATACAGGCAGCTAGGTGGCGCCATAGTGCATAGAGTGTTGGGCCTGGGGTGAGGAAGACTCATCTTTCAGAGTTCAAATCTGGCCTCAAACACTTACTAGCTGTGCGACCCTCAGCAAGTCATTTAACACTGTTTGCCTCAGTTTCCTCAGCTATAAAATAAGCTGGAGAAGGAAATGGCGAACCACTCCAGTATTTTTGTCAAGAAAATACCAACTGGGGTCATGAAGAATCAGACACAACTGATCAACAACAGTAGACCTCTAAGTTTAGCTGCAATATAGAGTTTGTTAAGGGGAGTAATATTAAAGAGGTATGGAAGGATGGGTGGGAGACAGATTTTGGGGCAGCTTTAAAAACCTAAGATTTAAGAGTCTTCACAAATAGCATCTTTTTAATCTCTCCTTTTGTTAACATCTTACTGCCTTCCAAAGGAGTTCTCCTATCACAGAGTGAGTGTACTGGGAACAGAGGAAGGTATTGAGAAATATTTCAGGGGACTTTAATAGAATCATTTCTAAGAATTGGTGGGGGAAGGGAAATATTAGGGGGAATGTGAAGTCTGTCTTTAAGACAGACATTTGAAGGGTTGTTTTGTAGAAGAGGCATTAGGCTGATTCTGTTTGGTCTCAAAAGATGGAGCCAAAAGCTATAACTGAAAGTTACGAAAAGACAATTTTAGGTTGATTTAAGGAAAAAAGTTCCTCACAAATTAGAGCTATACAAGAGACAAATGACTTACCTTGGGAGATAGAAGGTTCCCTTCTGGGCAGGGGTGGGGGTGGGGTGTAATCTTCAGATATAGATAGGATGATTGGTTTTGGGGGATGTTACAGAGTCCAGTTACAGATTAGAAAAGACCTCTAAAGTCCCTTCAGACTCTCAGGTTCTGAGCTTTTTTGATAAGTCAAAAAAATCAATATATACTATAAAATTCATAAAATATTTCGGAGTTAATCTACAAAAACACATGCAAGAATTCCAAAAATGTAACTAAACATCATTTCAATTAAATCTCTCACTTAGTTATATGGCCAGGCTGTCCTTATTCACAGGTGGTGTATTTATAGCTGATGATTCTCCCCCTCCCAAAGAAATAATCTCTTCCACTTCTCTGTTCTGACGCCAGAAATTCCCCCATTCTTTTGGGTTAAGGAATTGTAGCCTTTGCTATTTATTGCAAATATACCTGGGAGGAGTAACACATTGAACTCCCTGAAGCTATTGCCACCATACAGGCAAGGAGCTGATCAAAGCCTTTCTAACAGCTGGCTGAGGGCAGCTTATTTCTGAGGGAGACACGCAAGTAAGTTTTGGTAAGGAGTGTGGTGAAAGGGGCCACCTCCCAGGGGGAGGAGGCCTGGATGGAGAGCTTTAGTCATGGGACAGGGGACGTCTTCTATAGCCCGGGCATCTGGGAGGGGCTGGGAATGAGATGAAACAAATGACATGAAAAGAGGATGTGGGACAGCACTCTATTTCCTCCTCTCGATTCTTTTGCCTGTGGCCTGAGGCGGGTATGATGACATCTGCTGAAACATGGAACTTCAGGGTCAATGCTGAAGCTGTAGGGCTGATCCTTCACATGGTGATTACAGAAGGTTTTACGCTGTGATGTAGACCAGTATTTCCCCAGTAAGACCCAGGATCAAGAAGGAGTCAGGCCAAGTCCACCAGTTTTTAAGATCAAATTCTGTGGATGTAAGAGGTTTACAGATGGTGCTGGATCATAGCCTTGAGGATATGGAATGATAGGCTCATAGAATTGTAGGATTTAGAGCCAGAAAGCAGGGTAGAGATTATGAAGACAACTAGAGGCCTTATCAAATCATCTATTGCCTTGGGAAGTCATACAGATCAGCAATGGCTGTAGGTCTGTGCCAGTGGGGCCCAATTTAAAAGGCAAATAAAATAAATTTAAAAATTAGAGAGTTTTTTTTAAAAGAACATTAGAGCTTTGAGAGAAAGTATAAAGTGAATTTCTGGTCCCCGGCTTTGGTTCTGTATTTCTGTAAGTTATTTATATTTACCTAACAGAAGCTCTGTTTGTAAGACACTCTTTAGGAAAGACTATTGAAAAGTTCGGAGATTTAAAAAATCTATTTGCCAGGCAGATATTATAGCAACCAACACCAGCTAGTGCGTTTCTGTACTTGTTTTTCTGCCTTTAATTAATAATAATAATAAAATGCAAAGTGAAGTGAGCAGAACCAGAACATTGTATACAATAACAACAATATTGTACTGATGATCACCTGTGAAATACTTAGTTTTCTGATCAATACAATGATCTGAGAAAATTCTAAAAGATTCATGACAAAAAATGCTATCCACTTCCAGAAAAAGAACTAATGAACTCTAAATGCAAATTGAAGCATAATTTTTTCACTTTATTTTTCTTGCTTTTTTTGTAACATGGGTATTATGGAAATATGATTTCCATGATTTCATATGTATAATTGGTATCATATTGCTTGCTTTCTCAATGGGTGAGGCAGAGAATTGGGAACTCAAATCTTTTTTTTTAAATGAATGTTAAAAATAAGTAAATAAATATAATAGAAGATTAGTGATGGTGATGATGATGCTAACTAGCATTTATACAAAGGTTTCAAAAGTCTCAGCATAGTTTTAAGCTAGCTTAAACACTTTAAGGTTTGGAAAAACACATCATATGCATTATCTCATTTCATCCTCACAACAACCCTGAGAGGTAGGTGATATTATTATCCCCATCTTATAGATCAGGAAACAGACGCTGAGAGAGTTTAAGAGATGGCTGAGGGGTCACTCAGCTAGTGCCTGAAGCAGGATTTGAACTGACTCCAAATCTAGCATTTGTCTCCTATTCCACTTAGCTCTAATGAAGGGAAAATACGAGATACAAAGTTTATGAAACCGGGAACTTTTTGTGGAGGACCCCCTTCTTGGGAATTTTCTGCCTGGGATATTTGCAAATTCCTTGTTCACCAAGCATCAGGGTTAATGAGCTAGCAGTGAGACAGTGACATATCTCAAGGATATGTCAATAATTTTATCTTTCACTTAGACTTCTTACAGAAAGTGGCTAAAAGATTCCCATTATTTGATTCATAGGATAATATATATTTATAACTGGAAGGGTCTTCAGAGACTACCTGGTTCAACCCCACACTATCCCAATTCTTCATTTCTTTCCTATTTTCCTTGTTGGTGAGGCAATTAGGGTTAAGAGACAGTCATACAATTAGTAACTGTCAAGTGTCTGAGGTCAGATTTGAACTCAGGTCCTCCTGACTCCATGGCCAGAGCTCTATCCACTGTGCCACCTAGCTGCCCCTGTCCCAATCCTTCAGATTAGGAATTGAGCACCTTAGTAAACTCCTCTCTTACACTTTCACTCTGAGGCCCAGGCCATACTTCAAAATATCTTGTA